TGTTTGGGGGATAAAAATGCATTCTGGCATTTAATTTTTAAAATGTTATTGTAACTGTTGTTTCCTGTAAATAATGCATTTTATGGATGATCTGGTATTTTCTGGTGACATGATGAGGATGATGATGAAGAAGAAGAAAATGATGAGGATGCAAAGAATAAATTTTCTATGGAAAAATGTTCTCTGTCATATGCAGGCATGGCCGAGTTTCTGTTTTCAGTACGGTGGCATGGAAAATGAAACAAGGATTGGTGGATTAGTTTTTTTCTGAAAGCTGCTGCAACCCAAGTTTATTAGTTTAATCAGTTTCAATCCTTACATCGCTGTGCACAATACTAACTTTACAAAGCTAATAACTGATGTGTAGTTACAGTTTGTGGAGTTTTCATTTTATTTAAGATATAATGAAGGAGTATTGACATTAGAAGAGTTCGTTGCAGAAACTGAATTTCACACCTCACGTGCACTTGAGGAAGAAGTAGTTGCATTTCGATCCACGTGGACACTTGCAAATTTGGCCGTGGCGAGCCCCCTTTTTCACCGAACAAAAGTTACCGACGTTACACTGAAAAATAATCATAACTACTGTAACAAATAAATCAGTCAAGGCATCGTTCAACCATTCTTATCCATACGATAAATTTGAAATGAGACGCGCATTTTCGACAACAGTCCTAGGTGAACAAAGTAGAAATGCTATGAATGGACGCTAGGTGTCGTCCCAGGAGTACAAATGACTGAAATTGTGTAAGGGTTCTTTAACCAGCATATTAAGTTGCACTGTCGGGTTTGGGGTTTCGCCGTTTATTCTTGGTGTCTACCGGCGTCCTTGCGTTTTGATTACCAGTCCTATTTACATTTTCCCTCAGATTACCCTCCGTTCCACCCCAGTGACTGCATTTAAACACATAATTCATATGTATTACCAGAATGGTTTTTATTCTTCTGCGTAGACGGCTGCACACCCCAGGAAGGCGTCTGAACTTTCTTTCCAAAACGGACTGATTTTTCTTAAGTTTTTCTAGAACGTTATGAAGAACATCCATCTGCAACAAGACGAGAGAATGAGAATACTGTCAGTGTCATATCAAGAATAACATAATAAACCATAAAAATGTAGTTATTTGTTTGTTTGTTTGCGCAATAAGTATGACTTAAACTAGGAACACACCATTTCGTTCTTTTGCTCTTCGATGTCCACTCTTTCCACTGGTAAATCTTCTTCCAGTCTCGCTTCCACTCTCGGTGGTTTAAACTGCATGTATAACAAAACACTAAATACAAAAACTGCAGCAGAGAATTTCCTCATACTGCGATTTTCAAGAAGACAGAGAAACTAAAACCCTTTAAGGCTCAATAGCCAGTTTCTACTCCGGATATGCGCAGTTTAAACGGGGTATTCGCGGTACACTGTCCAAGGTACTGAATGGCGTCCTGGTCAGCTGTTACCACAACGCCTTGCGGAGGCTTCGTCCAGTCGTGAGTCGTGCACACTCTTACTTTGCTCGGTCACTAACAATATTAGCATAAGCTGATTAATGTGCTTTAGCCACTGGCAAATATAGGTATGGGCCACGTGGGCAGCCGCAAATGCCGGCACGAGACGCCCACACGAAAATAAATAAATAAATAATCGGTTCTGAAATCTGCGTGATCAGTTTCCCGTCGTTTATTTGCACGTCACGCCAGTGATATCAAGCCACCGTGTGGCTCAATCAACCTTGTCGGAGTGGGCGCCCTGATTCTAGTATGTGGGCGAGGCAGACGTACGAGGTGGCTTCACCTCAGGGAGACCCACTGGAAACCTGAGGTAGGGGGGCGGGGGGATCTGTCAAATAGTGCACCTCTAACTTTCTGCCAATGCAGTAAAATCTGTTGTAAATATATTGTTGTTTATTTGTATTATTCCAAATTCCTTAATAAAAATGACAGCAGGTGTCGAATGGTGTGTTTTTTTGTTTTTTTTTTGGCGCGGGGGCGTTGTAGAGCGGGGAGGGACGGGGGCGTCCAGGGCGCCATACAAGCTAGAACAACCACTGGTTTTATCGAGGATAACCATCACAATGCTCTTCAGGCTGGCAAAATGCGGAACAGATTTTTTTTAACAAAGATAATTGGCTTTGTGGTTGTTTTGCAGAACATTACATTGCATTTGTAATGTAATTCTGATATTCAGGAAACCCTGATTTACCATCTTACCCAACATCATTCTGTTTCTGAAGAGCACTGCACTGTAAAATGTAGTTTAAGCCACTTGATCGTTAGCCCTCCATACAGATATACGACACAAACCGTAATCTATGAAAGTGGCAGCACCCAGGATAACTGCTTTAAGAAGCTATTATGTAAAAACATATCAAGATTTTTTTTCTCCTTTTAGGGTAGCCTAGTTTAGTAACAATGACGTACTGTAATTGTAAAAGACACACAACAGCTGAGATTCTGCTGGCGACCTAAGATTTGCACTGATTCACACTCGCCTTATTTTTTTATTCGGCGGATTATGCGCTATATATAGGGGGACTGTACGGTACGTTTGCTTTACACGTTTGGTCTCCATGCTGGCTGGGATGCAGTTCAGGACCCCCGCAACACAGCTCAGGGCAAGTTTTTGGAAGAAGGATATAGACGGATGTTTATTCACACGTGCGTATGAAAACCTAACCAAGATTAAAATTATAATGTCGTGTTGCATTTCACACTATAATACGCCATAATGCAGTGATTAAATAAAGTATGAATGCAATTTAGTCGACGTTTAGTTGGATAATTTAAGAACACCGTTTAGCTTGTATAGTAATCACTGGGAAGTTAAGGTTATAGATAATCGCTGCTCTGTTTGACCGAGGTATTGATGTTATTGAGCGATGTATGAATGTATTTGTGGAGCTCGTGGATGTCTTTTGTATTTGGAAATGGCAGTTTGTCCCTTTATTAAACAAGACCTATAGTCGACAACTAGCCTATATATGTTTTTCATTTGAACAGGTTGTTGCTCGTTTTTGCATATTGAACTGTTTCCGGGAGCCTGGCTTGCGCACAAAAAGGTCAAATGCGCTAATGTGCGGTCGGAAGGGGCGCATTTCACTGCGGCTGGCATCGTCCGTTTCGTTATTAACAAATAAGTGATCCTAATTAAATTAAGGTATTTTTGCGCTTCGTTAAGTTCTGCAAGTGCCTGATCTGACATGTCCACCTGAAGTGATTCTTACTTTAAGTCGCCCAATCTTTAACCTTGTGTGCAAAAGCAGTTTTTCAGCACGTGTAATACACGTGTTGTGTTCCACATAAATTCTGCAAAGTATAAAATGTCCTTCTTAAAACGTTTCTTTTCGTATAGATATGTGTTTTCTAAAGGACTTTGTTAATTGAAATTCCAATTTTAAAATCTATTACACGGATTCAAGATTCAAGGTAAGATTTCCTTCATGGTTTCATGATTTATTAACTATAATAACACTTTGATAATGGTAATTTGGCCTAAATTATATAGGCTGTTCACAAGCAGGTCACCGATAACCTTATGATTTATGTACATTTTATTGATGAAAAATAGATTAGCTACACAGATAAAGTTCTCTATTAACGATGACCAGACAATTTTAAGACAAAGTCACAGGAACAAGTTAACAAAAACGTTTCCAAAATATCGTTCGTTGTTTCCAATAATGGTCTGATCGACGTATCAGACCTTTAGAGGAAAACATGTCAAATTTGGCCGACTTGGGGGATTCAATGTAATGTTCCCGAATCAGTAACAGCGGAGGAAGAAGGTGTTGCAGGCAGTCCCTCTGAGACAGTCGCAGAGCCTCCCGATTCGGGGCCCGTGTTTCATGGCACACCGCTCACCCACGTCGCACTGCGGACAAGAAGGGTATGGGGTCACAGCCGGCGGGGGCACGATCGCACTGTCCTCACCGCTATTTCCAGACGTTATTATAAGCTGACTCTAATGTTGATATTCAATTATACATACGTACAGTATAATCCTCAAAAATTACCGTTATTTATCTTTTTTTAGACTAGTAACGATGGCACTTAAAAGAAGACGGCGCTTAAGAATTAAAACTTGCGAGCACCAGGAGGGTGACTTACCCACGGAATTAAGCTGGCTTTTTTCTCTAGTGATATCCGGTTGTCCTTATTTCCATCCACCAGCCCCTCGAGTGCTTCCACCTGTACATAAACTAACTTTAACCTCTGTGTCTCCACTTTCATGGTGCCTCGTTGCACAGTATTTCTAAACATGCACAAACGAACGCCACAGTTATTATGCTATAGGAGACGAGCGAAGTTAATTTATGGCCGAAGACTAGACCAATCCGTTCAGTCTATAAGAATATGCTGCAGTTACGATGAAGAAAAATACAAATAGTCTGACTACAATTTAATTGTTAATGTTTTTGCACATCCACTTCAAATTTGATGCCTTTACGAATAACTTGTTTTAAATATTCAATTTCATTGCGTTCCTACAGACTTAAGTCCTAATGTTACTTTACAATTAACTTTTATAACGAAGTCGACATTATTTTTAGTCGCATACATCTGGTAGTACTGAACAGATATTTAAAATGCTAGAGAAACAAAATAATCCTATAGTTAGTTAAGGTGCGTTGGTTTCAGTCAGGCTATAAAATGAAAGCGCTTACCAAGTCCTTACTGAAATATCCCATTTGATATTTGTCCTCTTGTGATGACAGCTTGTTTTCCGATGGTGCCTGACTCTGGCAGATGACAATGAACAGGGAGATAGAGACGCCCAGGTACACGGCGGCTAGGGCTCTGACGCTGCCCATGGTACCGAAGTTCCCGTCTGTGCTGTTTAGACCTTTTATTTAAAAGCAAGGAAGCCAAGACTGGTCACTTCAGGAGTTTCAGCCCTGATTGTGATTTCTCCTATAGTTTCAGCCTCCTCTGGAGATGATACTTTTCAGCATCAGGATGCAGTAATTGCTTCTCGGGGTTGCTTGGAAACTTTATTTATACCGAAGTAGAAGTGCGCTGGGGTTCGCCCTTATAACGTCATCGTACTCGCATCCTCACGTCGGTTCTGTTTACCGTCGAATGCGGATGAATAGCGGTCTCTGTCAGTATTGATTAAATACTCGTGCCAGTCGAGATTATGTAAGCCGTACGATCAATCTGCCTGTCAAAATCAGCCATTGCAATTTCCAGTTTTCGACTGTTTATTATAAATGACAAAAGATAAGCACTTAGAATATTACAAGAGAATGACTCGAAGCTTAATAGATATAGTGATGTCATTGACAGTCACAAAATCTGGAGATAAAAATGTATATTTAATTGCGAATGAAATTCCTCTTTGACTGAAGTTAATAGAAACCAAAAAATGTCTGAAACATATCATTACACTTTGCGATTTTTTTTTCTTTTTGATGACCTGGTTACTATATCACAGGAATACTTTACGTTTTCTAACCAACTAAGTAGGTCTACAGAACTTGTTTTTCAGTGCACCCCGCTAACTAAAGATATGCACTCCTACACATTCTTAAATAATAACCAACTCAAGATTTTTGTGCAGTATCAACTATTTAAAAGTTGAACATAGTTTGCTATGTATTTTTTACAGTTTTAACGTGTCACTATGAGCGTGTGGTCGTAGGTGATGTCATTTACGCAAGTGAAAATACGTCATAATCTATACCCATCGTCACCTGATCCCATAAACTCGTAGTTTTGTGATTATGATGCGCAAACAGCGAATACGATTAATTTCCTTAAATGATTAGTGTAGATTCCGTGTGCTGAAGTAAATCTTAATAACGTAAGAATTAAGGAATAGTCAATAATCTTTTAGGGGAAGTTTTTACAGCTTCAGCTACCTGCAGAATCCCTCCCATCTCCCCAGTGCCTCTGCGACCGAATGACAGCTGTTTGCTGTCGCCGATTATGGCTGCATGATTTGATGGGACAAGAGGCACCGGCGAAGGGACATTAAATACTGAGCTCGAAGTCATGGCTGCAGCATTTTACTACAACTACTACAGATATTAATTTCGAGCTTTTGCCGCGAAGGCAAACGTTAATGCACCGCGGGGAATTCTCAGTAATGCCTTGTGTTTACCTAGCCTTCTGACATTTTCATTGTTGATGTTAATCTCAGTAATCTCACGTGTCTTGTCTGCCTCACTCATAATTAACCCAGTTACTTGACACTACGTGCTGCAAGGGGTCTGAAGAAGAGATCTGTGTGGCATTGACATCTACTGGGATACGCTGTGATGAAGAAGCTATCAAAAGGAGCTGGAACTGACCTATTGGAAGAACTGGTGTATTATATACATAAAACTGGCATCACTTGCTTGAAATGTCAGCTTCACTCCTTTTATTGATCCTAGTGTGGAATGCTTCCTTTTTAAATTAATTTTTTGTTTGTCAATTCTTCATGCTCAGTGAAAACATGCAGAAGAGATTTGGTCCCGTGATATTTTTTATAGACTTGTTTCTGTACACTCCCTCATAGCCAGATCAGACTGAAAAAATATCCCCCTTCAGCTCTAGAGTCAAATAGAAGAAGAACAAAAGAATCATATTTTGTGCCTTTTAATTACCCGGCTGTGAACTGATTAAACGTGGTATTTCACATTGAAGAAATTCTCCCATATAGGCCCGACTTAATAAAAGAGGGCTGAACTTTGCTATTAACTCGCTGTGTACTCACAGGAGTAGCACGGGGATTAATTATGTTTTGTTTACTCGCAAAGTGGTCGTTTTTGCGTCAGCCAATTTCAGATGATAATTTCTGCATTTGAGGTTCACCCGACTAATTGTCTGACATTCAAAGGTTGGATTGGTAACCTGTGTTGGTTACATATATATAGGAGGAGCTGCTCTGGTGATGTTAAACCTAAGAAACAAGCCCTTCGCCGAGCGCCGTTTGTCTGTGGCATGTGTTTGTTCTTGTTCGGTATTCATTCCTTCCGGGCAGCACTATGCCTGAGTCCGAGCTCTTCTGCAGTAATCACAAACACTCACCCTCACTTCTACAGTGTGATGCGTGTCCCCTGGACAGACGCGCTAAGACAGGAAGCATGTCAATTATCCCCAATCAGTTTTCGGAATGAGGCAGCATGTCAACTATGTCTTACGGGCACCTTAGCCCACTGAAGCAAAGAGGGCCTAAATCCCCGCTATCGATCGACGTCGACATTCCCGATAATAAGACTGCATGCGATGCCGAGGAGAGCTGCCTCTGGAAAATAAACCGGGCTGGACTCTCAGGGCCCGCAACACGATTTATCTGTTTGGATAGAAGCTTGTGGGCTGTAGTCAGACCACTTTAGAGACTAAACAGCACTCAACCAGAGACTTGTACTTGTTAAATGTCCATAATAAGATGATTGTCCAAATGAGTGATCAGACTAGTCTTCAGATTACACAGTGTGAAGCATCCTGATTGGTCTACAGGCTACCCAGGACACAGATCATTCTAAATTTAATGGCATTTTTCCATAATCTCCCGTTTTCTGTCTGGTTTTGCGGGATTCCCAGTGACAGTCCAACCTTCTCCACAAACTACAATTACCAGAGCAGTGCAATGCTACATTACAATAAACACTAAGTGCAAAATCCGAACTACTATGAGATATCTAGCAACATAACGTTCAACAATAAATAAAAATATAACAAAAGGTATAGTAAAGTGATACGTGGCAGAGTTAAGTACCAATGTAAAGTGGCAAAGTGGATAGAATGCAGAGAATGCTGCAGCAGAATTACAGAATAATCAGTAAATAATCTGTGACTTGGCGTGATGAGCCTGGGACAGACAGGTACCTATTGCAGTGTAGCATGTAGTATTAATACTGCACATTAGTGTGTTAACAGTATTATGCCATTAGGGTAGACGCTGGCCCTTAATGCAGGAAATAAAAGTACAACATCTTTGGCTATTAAAGATGATTATACATCCATCCATCCATCCCAGGCCTGTAGCCAGAATTCCATCAATTCCAGCTACCCTAGCAATAGATCTCCCTCGGTTTATTTTGCTGAACGGGGGAGGGGGGTTGATAGGTTGTGCCAACTGGGGGCAAGGTGGGGGGTCCCCTTGGTAGATTTTGCCAACTGTGGGACATCTACCCATCTTCTGCTTTCTTACCTGGCCAGGACCAAGGGGAGGGTATCAAGCCTGTTCCAGGCAGCGCAAGGCTGCGACGGGCTGCCAGTTAATTAATGATGATTATAATATAGATACATCAGCAAAATTAGACTCTCAGAAAAGTTCCATTTTAGGTTTAAGCTGCAGACACCTGAAATACAGTGACTCCATCTTCCCTGCCAGCGGGCTCAACACGGTGAGCATTTCACAGCGTCTGACTTTGGCTGCTCTGTGTTAGTGGCACAGAGTTTACCTGTCGGCCTGCTTCTCCCTGGAAGGATGCATGCAGAAGGCCGTCGTGACCCACTCAGGGTCCTCAAGCGACAGCAATTACCCAGAGTGAAGGCTGAAGGCCATGGAGGGAGCCCTGCTCACAGTACACAATCAGGAGCACATTCATCACGTAATTGTGTGTGTCTGCCACAAAGAGGCACGAATTAGCTACCGATTAACCCAATAGGGGTCATATCCCCTTAGGCAGCATCTTCCCTTAGACAGGAAGAGTCCTGTAAACCAGCACAAGATATGGCCCTTTATAAGGACACACCGATCTATCGATCAGCTATCGGTATCGGCCGATACAGCAAGAATCAGCCATCAGCTGCTGGTTAAACATCATCCGATATTTACCCCTGATAATTCCCTTCCAGATGGTGACCCACATTGCTGCACAAACCCAAGTGCTAAACAGCTGGAAAAATGTCTATTGTGTGTGGAATTATTGTAACGTCAGTGAAAGCAATTAGAAATGCATTTTGCAAACATTGCTCCGCTAAAATTTTACGAGGAAGAGTGTATGAAAAACAAATCTGTTCCAATAAACAAGGCTGCAGAACTTTCGGATAACACGAGTCCTTCAGTAAGGCAAGCGTTTGATAGCTAGAGAAAATTCAGTCCAGACAACGTGAAATCAAAAGATATTACAGTACGTGGAAAATTACAGAGTTTATCACACTTGACCAGCCCTGCTATGTAGTTCGAGGACACTGGCTTCCAGTAATTCAAAATAACTGTAACAGAATGCTTGAAATGTGTAGCTGAGAGGAGATATGAGATTTTGAGTTTATTTTATTCCACGTGCTGATAGCAGTTATTGTAAAAACACTACAGTAATTCCGTCGCAGATGTTTTTTGTTATGATATTAAAGCAGGGCTGCCCAATCCTGTCCCTGTAGAGCTAACACCCTGTAGAGCTAACACCCTGTAGAGCTTAGGTTCAGCCCTAATTTAACACACCTGATACAGATAATCAGGCCCTTCAGTATCACCTCAGTATTAGAGCCAGCTATGTTGAAGTTAAGCTGGTTCTCATACTGAGATATAACTGAAGGGCCTGATTATCTGTATCAGGTGTGTTAAATTAGGGCTGAACTCTACAGGGTGGCAGCTCTCCAGGAGCAGGACTGGGCAGCCCTGTATTAAATTAAGTAACATAGTCATTTCAATAATAAATACTTTATTGATCCCCATGGGGAAATTGTTTTTATGCTTTTAGTAGAGTGAGTTGTCCATGAAGGGAAACCACCTGTTGGGGTGCCCTGGGAGTTGGGGGTTAAAGGCCTTGCTCAAGGACCCACGGATGTGCTGAGGCTGGGTTTGAACCGGTGACCTTGTGATTACAGGTACACAGGCTTAGCCCACTGAGCCACACACTGCACCCAAAGAAATGTGTAACTGTAATGGTAACTGAAAGCAGTTAATGTTATAAATGTATGAGCAGGGTTAACAACTTTGGTCAGGCAGATTTTCGATTCGAGATAAGTCTGCACATACATGCACACGCATTTACGTGTATGTAGCAGTTTTATTACTTT